CGTAATGGAGCACAACATAGAAAATGACTTCATAACAAAGTTGGTGGTTTCGATGCCGTAGGGACTTGAAAAAGTCCTAAAGAACAAAGGCAGACTAATCAACTATTAGTGCACACAAACTTGAAATCTTAATTATTATCAATGGTAATTTGCTGTTAAAAAAACTATTCCATTCTCTTTAGTTACCTCTGAACTCATCATGGTCTAGGTCAACCACTACTGACGAAATGGGAGTATCCGCTTTATTCTGAACCATTCCATCTGCTNCTGAGTATAAAAGATTCATAAAATTCACGTCTATAAAGACTCACCAAGGCTTGGGAAAAAAAGTTACTTCAGTATAAATGCTGTTGCATCGGGTTTGACGACACCAGATTACTACACCCCAGCCATCGGATTTCAATGTTTGTAGGCAACTAATGTGATAACATGGAACTGGGACAACGTGAGATAAACCCCTTTGGGGGAGGCTACAAAAAACAGACGTCAATGACCATCGTGATGGCTAGGATGTGATGATGCAACGATTCAGGCGGTACTCGATAAACAGTGTGTGTGGGGGGAGCTAATGGAGTTTTTATTTATTAGTTTATGTCTGCAAGATGAGCGAAACTAACGGTATCTTTTCCAGCACATTGTAAGCAATATGAACTCTGATCTCGGGATGATTGCCTAGCTGGTGCACTTCGTGCTACAAATGCAGCTGAAACAGAAAACCAGCAGCCAAAACGGTAAAACTGTCTTTGATGGATTGTTTTTATTTCTCGGTGAGTCTAGTAAGAAGCAAGACAGTCTGATTGCATTAAAGGTTTTCCCGACAGCAGGTGCTGAGTATTTTCCGATGAGCTAAGATAGATAGATCGTCGACCGCGAGTGACAATTTGATGATGTGTTCTTTGGAGATTCCTAAATGGACTCAGAAGGCAGTTTTCATTCACCTTGTTTCAACGTATTTGTTCTCTGTAACAATATCTCTAGTGTTAAACCTGCAAAGATGCACCTTCAGTCTTCACAAGTTGTAACCATACGTTTCCATACGCCACTTTTGGTTGCTGTCTCATGGCTGCCAATTAGGATGCAGGAATGANGGAAGGGAAGATTTGAATGTTTAAACTAGTGTCTGAGTAGGAATAGAGAATTCGTGAGGATTAATGTAACAAGGAAAATGGGTAGATGAATGAGCGCCACTGCTGACGACACTCAGTCGTATCACTCGGTGTATCCAAACACGGATTACGCTGATCCCGATGTCTCGATCTACGAGAGGCTGAAGGTGACCTATATAGAAGAGTCTCCTAGTCCGGATTTTCATACACTCATACCAGGTCTTAGTTTGACCACTCTTCACGTTCCTCATTCATCACTTGCCTCGACCAACAACGCGCGCCGTGGCAATCAATTTGGTGACAAGCCAAACACGTGCCCCAAACAACCGCGGTTACAGAAAACTCTGCACCTAACTTCAGTATTGTAAGTCCGGTTCCCCCAACAGACTCGTGCGACACGGCGTAGACAAATAGTGTTCGAACAGCGCTGCTTACACCCGAAATATATTCCCCATTAATAATAAAGTTGCCGAAAGTTAAAGCTTTCACGAGGCATAGAAAGTTACACAGCAGTGGTAAGGTAATCGGGGCCTACTGAAGAATCGTATTTTTTGCTGATGGCACCATTCACCGAAGAGTGTTGTTGTATCTCTCCAAAGCTATCACCAAACCAGGCTCCACAATGTGTATCCCAACAACAATCCCAGTTGGAAGAGAGTCGCAAACCGTGCAAGCCTCTATTAATAGTGCCCGCGAAATGTGCAATCAGAAGAGGAAAAACGTGCGGGATTTATGGAATCGATCACAGCGTAGTCGTATGTCCGAACTCGGGGTTAGGAAGGCACTGACAGAGGGACTCCACAAAACAGGGTGTCGTTTTCTACCCATTACCTAGACGACTACGCATCCAGGACCGTTGTGAGAACGCCATATTAAATTCTGTCACCTAACTTGACTTCAAACCCCAAACCAAACCCAAATCACGCAACTGATGTGTTAACCACTACCACCACCACCACCACCTGGTTCAAATAACTCCTTTCAAATTCCTAAATTTCTTTGTTTGACATGATCACATATAAATGTGCGTTTACCGTGGAGCGAGAGCACACGGGTAACTGATGGGCAATAACGATTTGGTCGACGTACGTCTTCTCTTGTGTTAATAGATGTTATTTATATGATGTAGTAGCTATTCTTTCAGACCACAGGCTGTAATAATCAAATGTGTCTTCCACGTGTGCCACAGCTAGGTGCTTCATGTAATCCATAAAAACAACAATTTGTCGAATCAGCACGGTCAACTTTATGATGGAATATAAGACCAAATATAAATGCCAAATGATTTTCTTATTATGGATCGTAGAAAAAGTACGGGGGGGATGTGTTGCTTTAATCTACTGCGGCTGGCTTCTTGGAAAGGATAAGCCGGCTCCAGATATAATCATGATCACGGAGTTCCTTGGGTCATTGATACAACAGACATCCCCAGCGTCACTCGACGTTTCTTATTCTGAGGGCGGACCTCTGGCCTTTGTACAACCAAATGCGAACTGCAAGGTAGCAGGAACTAACCCCTCACCTCGGAAGTGACGGAGTCAATGACTTTAGTTTTAAAGGGCCAGTCACATCAACCTTTGTCACGACACCGTCATTGGGCTCATGCGGCTTTCAAACAGGAGCCAGATGACCAGCCTGAAACCCAACATACTCTGTTAGTGCCGTCGCTGTTTGTTCGCGACTACTTATTTGTTGCGGTATACCACAACTTATTCACAGCTAACCTGCTTCGGTGAAGGTATCCCCCTATGCACAACCCGGGGACGCGCCTGGTAGCATTCAGATCTGCTTAACCCGAGGGTGTGTTAACAGAATGGTACCCAAACTAACACAAAAGAAGCGATTTCTAATGGGAACCTGTGAAATATGTGTGTGTGATAGACACACTAAACAGTCCAGGTCATTTGTAAATTGTAGCTTACCCAACGATTTACTGTCGAATTGCAAGTAGAAGCCCAAATGTACGAGTTCGGATGGCCTTCCACCAATTGTAACTGAAACAGAAAGGACAGCGTTGATGGAAACTGGTTATTAACCCGGAACAGAGTCAGAACTGATGTTTCTCTACGAGGACAGAATTGGACTAACGAATGAAATCACAGTTCCATTTACGTCTACATTATCAAATAGACGCATTTCAATTGCAACAGTGTGTGTGTGTGCGCGGATCGTAGTCTTCATGATCAAATGGGTTTACCAACCAGTTTCGGTTTATCACGCTTGTGAAACAATACCAAACAGACAAACGAAATGAAAATAAATTTGAATCTTACCCGTAGGACTGGGTCAGACTCTTCACCGATCAGAACGGACCGTGATGTATTACTAAGATCGGTGGCCCAAATCTTTCCATCCTTTCCGGAAGAGAACACAGTAGTCCAGGCTTCATCTACCTATAAATCGGGGATAGATAGAGCGGATCGGCATCGTCAGCATCGCAAAGCAGAGCGAGATTTACGGTCTATGGTAACATGAGTGCCTCATAATAACGATAAGTTCACAATCATACACAATCGTATTCCAGCTTACTATCCGCCTGGTATTGTAAGCGAAATTGATATAAACCGAAAAAATTACATATGATTCATGAACAGTGGAAGTAGCGGCCTTCAAAAGCCTAAGTAGGGTCGGGGTGGATTTCTACAGTTGCGGCTGGTCACTCCTCTCTTGCACCTCACGAAATGCTCCTATAAGACCAAGCGTCTCAGACATCTTCTGCCAAGGAAGCCCTAGGAACTGCCTTCCCGTGGCGGTGTTTTAACATCAAAGTGAGAGGACGAAAAGCCAATATCCGGGGCTATAACCAGGTCGGTGAACCCCAGGCAGTTCATCTAGTGGTGGCAAAAAACCCTGATTCTAAACCAACCAAGAAGAGGCTTACGAACCACACTCACCAACACCTTCTTGGTCGTGGTAGTGGTTACCGGCTAGATTAGGCATCGAGGTGTATAAGGTACCTTAGACATTTGACCCCGTCTAAAGGGTGTACGATCTGATGACCTGGGCACTGCCCTGCTGCCTTACGGGCCAGGCTTTGGTTGGAAAAAGGCTACGGTTGTGAATTCCCCAGGAAAATTCACGTGCCATGACCTGGGCAACCTGGCAGTAGTCCGCACACAAACAAATCATGGAACTTTCTCTTTGTTATAAAAATTATTGTACTACGATTTGTTTGGCACACATTCGGGATTGAAACGCGTGTAAAATACAATGAAATACAACCCACTAGCCATCTGAAGCCTTGATCCCTAAGATACTCCGGGAGCCAACGCATTTGTTATGCGATAATCCATCCTGTTGTTGCACTCTCTCTTGTCCATTGCTTCAGAATTTCGGTACATTTTGGCTAGAATGAAGTTGTACCAAAAACTCCTTTATGCCCACCCGACTCGGGTGCCAAGGGACGCAAACAGTCTAAAAGTACATTTGTTTGAATAAGTATCCCTTCACTTGTATACTTTAGCCCTGACAATAAGCGACAAACTTCATGCGCTAATTTTCACCATGTTGACAATATACGACTGAAATATCAGCAAACCTCTAGCTGGAATGCAATCCCGGTGTGAAAGTGACATAATTGTGTGCAAGAACAGTGTGGCATGGTTTACCAGTTCGTCTGTTGTTTGGATACAACTGATGGGATCTAGCAACGAAGCTCGATTTCAACCACTGATCCAATTCGATTTGGTCTGAACAACACCAAAGCCACATTGTATTGGCACGTTATTTTTTTCACATTCAGGAAAACTTTTCCGTTGCGATAGCACTTGCATCCCGGGCACTATCAACTGTTTCGCCTCGACTAACAAGGTAACACTCGCATGGTGCGTAACACTGAGTTAAGAAGGGTTTATGGACAAATTGAAATTCACGAATCTACGCATATTTTTACCTATTTGACCTGCCTCTGTGAACAGAAAGACATTTTGTTTATTTCCATCCGTCGTTCTTGGTAATGTTTGATGTTATGCAATTTTATTTTTGTTCTGCTACTCAATAAGTTTCTATTTTAAAAAAATCTGTTTTCTTCTACACCGCATCGGTTGAGAGGAAGTGGAACCGCCTAGGACATAATCAGCGTTGTATCGCGACACGAGTTAATTTTGATCAAGTTAGTCTCACGAGACAGCATGCTTTGATGATGTCTTTTCGTTAGAGCACGAACGGGTTCTCTTTATCCTTTCTTTAATTACGATCCGCCCTAGTGAATAATACATACCAAGTGATTCCAACTGAACACACAAGAAAACGACTGATAAGCTTATTGTATAAAGTGATTACTACAGTTGATTAGGATAGATGAGGTGCCGGATTGGAGAAAAATTCATCTGGCTCACACAAACAGCTTCAAATATGACAGAGTATCAAGTAAAGTGAACAATTGATGTGGTGGTGGACACCTAACGTGCTTCTTGCTTTTCTGTCATCTATTCACAGTTATACTAGAATCGTGGAAAGTTCGGTGGGGTTCGAACTCACGCATGGACGCCATCTACACTGTTTCTGGATAGGTAATTCAAATGTGAAAAGATCACTGCTATCGGTGTCCCGTCGTAGCTTAGCAGGTAGAACGTGATTCGTACAAAAACGTACTTGGATTCCATGCGTGGGTTCAAATCCCACCGGGGTTACTGAACTTCTCACGATTCAAACATAAGACTTAAGTCTGCCAAACAACATAATTGAAAATTATTGGTAGTTAGTCTACATACTACAAACCACAGTTCGCGAATATGTATAAAGGCCAGTCTGGTCTAATTAGCTCCTATAAGAGAAAACTTGATTTACGAAAAGATGTACGTAAAAGCCTGGAAGAAGGGAAGTGACCACTAGCCAGTTTGACAGAAATCCAAACGGACAGTTTTTTCTTTTGGTCACTGACCTGTAGTGTGAACACGCTCTGTGTGTGGATCCGAATGGTGTCGGTGCACCGTCGCATGCTAAGCGGCCACACCCGAATGGTACCGTCGGAACTGGCGCTCAGGATCTTTGGGGAAAGGAGAGAACTGGTGAATTAGTTTTGCCTGAAACGAAACAACAAAAATAGACAAACACAAAAGCTACGGTGCTAAGAATACTGCCATGTATAGAAAGAGTTAACAATGACATTTACCCACTCAACAACACGTACATCGTTTACGCAGGCCACCAAACCGTATTTCAATAAAGCAAGCAATGAAAAACTTCAGCAAGTCGGTAAGGTTTAGCAAACACTAAAATTATCATTGCTCCCATTGTTCTCTTATGCCTGTTACGTGTTCAGGTTATCGCAGATGATCTTACAGTTGATGCGGTTAGAAAGGAACCTAGGATTTGCTCACATAGTACTGAAGGTAAACGTGAGCACTACTTGGTAGACATTTATATTCAAAAACATCAAATTAACGTACATCCTCAATGCGTAAGAGCCACCTCTTACGGTTGTATATCAGGAAAAAGCGAAGGAAAGCGTTGTAAACCGGGTCCGGCATGTAGCTCGTCATCGAACACTGTTGAAGGTTTTGTCATGCGCAACGGTCGTTGGGACTCCTGGGATGCTGTCCA